GCAGCACCGCCACCACCAGTTGAAACTGCAGCAGGAGCACCACCTAATGATTAATTGATCAAATTAATTGTCACAATAATTTTCAAACAGAAAAACAAGGAAATCATATAAACTATTGTTTTAATGTATACCTGCACCAACGTTCATTAAAAGATCAGCAACGTTTTTTCCTTCAAGAGCTTTAGCAAATAAATTTGCCCAGACTGGTTCAACATCAATACCCGCAGCTTTGGTTAAAGTTGTTAATTTATCAGACTGAGAAAAAAATTTCAATTTTAACATGAATAAATAATAAATAAATAAATAATTAATTAATTTAATTTTCTCCACTCTTTTGAGATAGAGATTTTATAATTAAATTTACAGTAATTTCAACACCATCGTCTGCTAGAATAAGTGCAGCATAACTGATAGCAAGTTCTGAATTAGACATTTTTTTTGTTTTCTTTTAAAAATTGACTTTATCTTTAATAATCAGTAAAAAACTCGTGTGCGCAAATAACGATTTAACTCACAAATGGAGATACAATACGCTCAACACGAATTGATAAAATGGAAAAAAAAGTAAATAATTTTTTTCTAAAAGATCAAATTTTTTTTATAACTGAAAAAAAAAATTGAATCTGAATTGTGAAATTCAAATAGCCAATCAGACATTTCAAATTTTATTACAGGACCCTATTAAACTAGCTATCAATAATTCTAATAATTGAAAAGCTAATTCAACGTTGCTATTTAATAAAATTTCTTTATCATATCTATTAATAGACGATTTATTACTATTTGAAATGGATTCTCCATACAAAATCCTTATCTACCATTTTTAAAATCTTTTCTAGGGAAAGTTTTTTTCTTTGCTTTTGGCATTCTTATTTTTTTTTTTGTAGGTTGTTTACTGACAATATCATCATCATCGATGCATTTGAATATTTGAATTAAAGCTTCAAGTGGTAAATTTTTAAGTTTTTTTTCATTGATATTAATAAAATCAAAAAAATTTGATAGAAGTGGTTGATAACTAATATATAACTTCGCATTCATACCACAAAACAGGATAATGTTTAAGAAAAAACCTATACCCGAATCCAATACTGAATATGTTATCACCAAAAAAAAAACTTGATAAAATCGGCTTATAAAGAGATAAATTTTAATAGGAGCAGATAAAAACATCAGTTTATTATATGTATTCATTCGTTTTATCAAAGCGTCATCTTAATGTCTATATAATATTTTTATTTCTAAAACATTATTTGAAGTACTTCACTGGAATTTGAACTAACGATTTGAACTAATCAATTTTTTTTGTCCGTTAGTTATCTTTTGATACATATTAAATTTTTGGCAAACAATTACACTCGGTGGAAAAAGTCACCGGACACTTTATATATTGACATATTGCTCGGGAAAAACGATTATAAATTTCTATCCATGAATAGTTTAGGTACTCACTCATAAATAATGATATAGTGTAACGGTCGCGTATACCAATATAAAATAAAGTTATGATCAATAATTTTTTCCTTTAATTTTTTATTTAATTACGCAAAAATTGCGCGAAAATGAGTGGCCAGTTTTTAGTTACCAATAGAAAAGAACTCACTGAATTTGAACGTGGAAAAATCATTGCACTTTCAGAAAAAGAACAATCAGTGCGTAAAATATCAAATGACCTTGGATATCCTAAGTCTACTGTTCAAGATACAATTTCTCGTTATAAGACTAAAGGAGACACCCATAGCGCTCTCTGACAGTAAAACATGAGGAGGTGGAGTAATGGTATGGTGTTGCTTTTGTGGAACAGGGTTAGGTCCTTTGGTATTGATGGAGGGCAAATTAAATCGTTTCGGATATATACAGTTATTGGAAGAAAATATGTTGCCGTGGATTCATCAAAAATTCAATCATCGCCGTTATTTTTTTCAACAAGATAATTCGCCCATCCATACTGCCAAAGATACAAAAGCCTGGAACAAGTTAAAATGCTTCCGAACTGGCCTGCACAATCACCCGACTTAAGCCCAATTGAGAATCTATGGGATGAATTGCAAAGACAACTACGAAAACGAAATCCACAACCCGCAAATAAGCATGAATTGTATGCAGCATTGAAAGAAGAGTGGGAAAGAATTCCCAGAAAAACCTATAAGAAATTGATCGATAGTATGCCTAGACGTGTTCAAGAATGTATTGAGAAATGATAAGTTATTAAAAAATACTCTTCTTTTGTAGTAATTATAATTAGTTAAAATTAATGGGATTTTACATTTTCATTTAACAAACAATTATTTTTAAAAAAAAAAGTTTGAAATAATAAATAGTTGCTACCCGAACTTCTGACTAATATATTCAAATATATTGAAGATGATAGCCAAGCATTATATTTTTGTATTCTTTTCAACAAACATTGGCACAATATAAATATTCCAACTTTATGGAAGAGCCCATTTGATTGTGAAGGCAGCATCAAAGTATTAATTAATTGTATATTAGAAAATGACAAGGATTTCTTAACTAGAAATTGCATTGAATTTACTTTTAAACTATTGGAGAAATCACCATTATACGATTTTGTACCAGCCTTTTGGTTTTTATAGTCTTCAATGCCTGATAAAAATTAGATCATTAAATCTTGAATGAATTTTAAAAAATAAATTAGGAAACTTTATTTTAGATCATTCAGCTGGTATTAGAGAGCTTAGTACTGCTGATTATATAGATTGTAATTTATTAATTAACCATCATAGATTTGATAATTGTTTTCAGAATCTTTATGAAATAGTATGTAAGAGTTCTGATAGTGGTGAATTTTTTGATAAATTGGCAAATATTTGTAAAAATATTCAATCATTTATAGTATGTTGTGATAGTAAAGACAAATATATATATAATTTAGCACAGCTAATTAAAGCACAAGAGCAAATTAAATATTTAACTATTACATCAACAATGTTATTTCCTATTAAAAATCAAAAATGTGGTTGTCACGATTTACAACCAGGAAAAATGATTCTTCCAACTAAGAAAACTAGATATAATACAAATAAAACATATAATTTTTTCGGTGATCGGGGATTAAAATTCAACCTTTTTCTTCTTACTAAAGCAAATAACCAAAATCTCGGGGTCCTATACCACTCTGATAACAAATGAGTAATTAAATTGTTTAATTTCCGATCACAAAAGTGTTTTATTAAGCGGAAAGGTTTTATTGAATTATTAAATTGTGAAAATGTTTTTACAGAATGGAATTTTTAAGTTAATATTAATTATTAATATTGAATTTGCCTCCACTCTTATGAGCGAAGCATAAGTAATTAATAATCAACTTATTTAACGTATAATAAATTTTTAGCTAATAGTTTTGATGCATGTAACCTTTTATATTTATCGAATTTTTCAATAAAAAGTAGATCTTCAGGTAAAAACGCGGCTCGATTTTAAATGAATTAATGGATTAAAGATCAAGGATCAAGGATCAATGATTATAACTAAAATATTTTTTGTGAAGGAATTTTTTGTAAAATTTGGGCGTAGAAAATGTGTTTGTGGATCAAATATGTTTTTTCGCTTTTTGTAAAAATTTTCTTGTCACTATTTTTTAACTATACTATACATTATTATTTGAGAAAAATTTTAATTATTGCATGCAGATTGCAAAAAATCAAACATTTTTTTCATTTCTCTGAAGGTAAAAAGCAAAAAATCAGCCGTCTTTTCATTTTCGCTGAAGGAAGAAAATTAATTTTCGTTTAAAATTTATTGTTACACGAGTGGGAACTTTATTATTATTAGTATTAGTTAAATATTCCTTTTATTTTCTTTATTTGTATTAACGAATGGCTTACTATTTTTTTGAAAAATTCAATAATAATAATAACAAAAAAAAAAAGTGATTAAAATTTTTTTTGTTTTAAATTAATAAAAAATGCCTAGTCAGTTAACGGTGTCATCATTGTTAATAACTATAAAGTTAACATATAAAGATATCTCCTTATCGGAAATGTTTGATAAAATAAATAGATCGCCACAGCATAATTCTGTTCAAAAATCTCTATTATTCTTTAACATTCTATGGAAATGTAACGTGTTTGCGCTAAATAAAAAAAACAAGATGGTTATAATTTAATTTCGTTAAACATTTTTTTTTATGTTACAATCATTTACACAATCAATATTAATATGATTTTTCCCGACAATAATATAATTTATTATTATTATTATATTATTGAAAAAACCAATAAATAATTGATCCGAATAGGTCAATCAATGATAATGCCAGACTATAAATATGGTAGTCATCAAACTCTTCTTTTTTTTTAGAAAACTAATTAAAATATTCTCATCAAGATGATAGAAACAAACCCTTGGGTATATCTTAGTAAAGACATTAAATTCGTCATAACTCATTCGTACGAAATTATTGATGAATTTATCTTTCGTAATAGCATATTCAGTTCCTTTAAAACTTCTTATAAAACAGGAGCCAAACTTGATTTTCATAATATTGCCAGCCAACTATATCTAGTTGTGACGACTCTTTTGTCTTTCCAAATTTTATTCTTCTATCCTCTGGTGATGGCAAAGGCTTTGGAACGCAAATATATTCGTTCATCCAGACTATCGGATAAACATAATCAGGAAAGATGGTTTTTTATTAATGGAATTTGCGTTACAAAATACTTTTTAGGTCAAAATTGTAATCATTTGGAGGAACGTTTCGATAGGGGGGTTACAGGAATTTTAAATAAAAGTTATGGTGTGATCAATGATATAATAGAGACCATCCTTCAAAGAAGTTTTGAAGTAGATACAATTTCAGTACGTGTTTCTGTTGAAGAGATTATCCCAGCGCTCAGAAACAAACAAGTTAACACCGTTCGGTTAGTAGTGCATTCACAAGGCTGTGTTATAGCAAATTTGGTTTTGAGAAGACTATATCTGGAATTAAGCTACACGGGTGAACAAAATTTTCTCAATAAACTAGAGGTTTACACATTTGGAAGTGCATCTAGAGAATTCACAAACCCAGGAAACTTGATTAAACGCATCGAACACTATGCAAATGACCAAGATCCTATTGCAATGTTAGGTGTTCTTAGTGAAATCAATAACCCACGTTATAACGGCGAGGTTTTTGTCAATTATACAAAGAACAATGGTAAAGGACATTCGTTCATCAAGTTTTACAGTCTAAATGAATATGATTATAGAACCCTAAGAAGTGACAAGGATGGTATTCCTACATTTTTGCAACTTAATGGACATATAAATCCTAATCTGCAAATTATCGAAAAATAACTTTATTAGCATTAATATTAACACTTGTTTTAAATATATAATTTTTATTAAATATAACATTTTTTATTATTATTTTACTATTATATACCATTATTTTTTTAATATTTGTAATATTAATAGACCATTACTGACTGCTAATTTATTTTTTAACAAAATTTCCCGTTGATCATCTCAATGACCACTATTTTTAATGCCACTATAAAATCACATGACCCAAACGGTTAGCAATAACATTCCTTCTGCAATAGCTAAACTCACTAGGATAACTACAAAAGAAAAATGAACAATAAATGTAAAATATACTCTATGTTTGCTATTTTTAATTTAACATGATTTTATTATAATTAGCACAACAAATTATAATTAATAAATTTTTGTTGTATGGTAAATAAAGAAAACCTTGGCATTTTTTAACCAATGCCCAAATAATAATCATATGAAACCGAGGGTCTTCTGAAGCAATAATTCATGACGCGGGGCATAATTCGTGATTCAAAGCATAAATTGTGACACAAGACATATAGTTTGTGATGCGAAGCATAGTTTGTTATTATAATAATAAGGGAAGACCCTAGTTGTAATCAGCAAAAATTATGTATTTTATCCTATTTGACGAAAAATTATGTAAAATTTTTATTAGAAGAATATTATAAATTATTATTGTTACCTAAATCTATTTAAACATAATGTTCAACTTATTGCATTGCATCTACAATTTTTATTTCCTTCTACATCTCATCCACTTCTGATCATATATGTGAGAAAATAGCTTCATTATTCTCATAAATAATATTTAATGGTGCATTCTTCTGACTCCAAACATTCATTTAAAATTTTCTTTCTCCACTACTTTTAAAAACATATATAGCAAAAATAAAAAAATTTTTTTTTTCAAGGAGAATTAGTTTTTATGAAATACAAAGTATTGTTAAGTAAAAAAAAAATTATTTACTAAAAAAAAATGATATATTTAATATGGTGAATTAATCTAAAATAAATGGATCAGCACTAATGTTTCCTCTTAAAATTAGGGAATTGCAAATGAGTTAAATGAGTTGCAAATTTATCATAATATTTTTTTGTTTTCCTGCCATAATCATATCATTATCATTATTCATTAATATTAAAATATGATATATCAATATATCTTATGATTTTAGCCAGCTAATCTGTTAATATAGTTAAACCTTGTATTCAATGAAAAAGCATTTTTCAAGGGGAATTGAGCTCTTGAAGCATGTGTTTCATAATAATAATAGTAAAAAGAAAATAGCCTTTATTTATAATGCAACAAAAAAAATTTTAAAGTATGTATTCAGTATATAAATTGTTAAATTTAATTTTTTACAAAAGCAAAAAAGAAATAATCTTTACATATTTTCTAAATTATTTTTGTAATTCTTTGCAGCAATGTTATAATATTTTTAAATTAAGAAAAATTGTTTGTCTATTGAGTAGTCAATTAGAATATGTGTCAAATATTCAAAAACATATTAATGAATAAATTTATCTTTATGAAATTTGTTGAAAGATTAAAAGCTTTTTTATCTGCTTAAATTTTTTCCTGATTTTTTCCAACCCATCAAGCTGTTTTCATGAATTATTAATATTAAGAATCCTAAATCTTGATATTTTTCTAATGTTTTTCTTTCATCACTTTCTAGCATAGTTTCACACTCATATATATCAAATCCTATCACTAAAGGTTTGGGTCCTCTCCAATTCTTCATTAGAATATCCAAAGAATGGTTACTAATATTATAAATCTTATAAGTAAAAGTTATTGACTTTAAGTTTTTTGGTAATGTTTCATTTAATACTGTTAATATTTTACCACAATCTATTTTAACAGGAAAACAATGATCAAATCTAATACTTTTTAATTTAGTACAATTATTGAGTGCTTCCATTAACTCCTGGTTGAATTCATCCTTATAAAATATGGATAAATCTTCTAAATTTTTACAAGATTGTGCAATTGATTGAAATAGCCCTCTTAAAAATTCATAACCATTTAAATTTGGATAACCACCAATATACAGATTTTTAAGATTTTTTCCATTGATATTAATAATATCAGACAAGTTTGATGGAAATGGTTGACCATAAATACATAGACTTACAGATTCAATATTTGGCAATGAAATATTTTTCCAACTTATTATATTGTTATTAACATTAGATGATAATTCTAAAGTCTTTAAATTTTTAAAAGTTGGTAATAATAAATTATTAAAATTATCTACATCAATGCCATGAGATCCATAAAAAATGATTGATTGTGAATGTGTTAATATTGCTTTTTTTAATTCATCTGATAAAATTTGTTCCATTGCTTCTGATTCAATAATTAAATATTTAATTTGCTTTTGTGCTTTAATTAGCCGTGCTAAATTATATATACTTTTGTCATCACTACAATATACTGTTAATGATTGAATATTTTTACAAATAATTGCTAGTTTATCAAATAATTCACCACTACAAAAACTACAATTATAAGCTATTTCATAAAGATTCTGAAAACAATTATCAAATCTATGATGATTAATTAACAAATTACAATCTATATAATTAGTGCTAAGCTTCCTAATATTTGCTGAATGGTCTAAAATAAATTTTTCTAATTTATTTTGTA